AACTAACCGTGGAAAGTTTTCGTGGTTTTTACTTTCAATGTAACGCAAATGCGGGTTAGTTCCATCAAAAAGTCCTCCACGAAGGAAAATTTCTCCCAATACTGGGTTCAGGAGTTCCCTCGTCTTCAGGATTGGATTCAAAATTACATGGATACGAAGATGAGCATTAGTAGTCGTTAACTCAAAAAAATGGGTCGGCTGTTTAACGACGGTTATAAAATAAGGAAGAAGAAAAATAATGAGCGAAAAAGTGGCATTCGTTCATCGAATTCTATCACACATAAAAATTCTGGAAGGGGAGAAATGTGGCGTAACTACCACTATAAATATTAAATACCAATCCACTAAAACACGTTAACTTAATGTACTCTTAGAGATACCTTTTGATAGATGAAGGATGACTTAGTAGATAATTTCAACGCCTTAGAAGTGTATAGTTTGCAGGTCTCTGGTATGGGAGACCAGATATTTATTCTCACCAGGTTTTAATTTAGTTGCAAAATTCTTCAACACATGGTGAAACTGACAGAAAAAAAAGAAATATTATTTTCTACTGCACATTAGACTATTTTGCACAGGCATCAGTTAATTTTCTCCTAAGACTGCGTTACATTGTTGCTGCAACTGACAGTTATTTTGAAAATATTATTTTATAATTTTTTCCAGTTGGTAGCGCCATCGGTTATCGAACTTTGCAATTAAGCTCAAAACTTTATGAGAATAAATAGTTTCCTGCGCAGAACTCAAAAAACTGTAGATACGTTTTCATTCCATTTGTAATTAATATTTCAAATCGACTGTCATATTTGAGATACTCATTTGAATCAAGCGTTCGTTTAAAATTATGATTCAGTTTGTTTTCTTTTTATTGTGAAACTGTAGTACAAGTATTTCACTATTAGGAATTATTTTCTTGAAACAAGTTTTTAATTAGAAATTTTTTTTACATTATATAAATATTTATATTCTGATTATGAACAAAGAATATTTTGAAGTCAAATTGTCATTGTTGTTGTTACGACTCTCGGACAAAGTAAGTTCGTCAGTCAATTTCTCTTGTGAATTAAGTCAGGAATGACCGTCTTTCGTATCCATATGTACACCGCTATAATGAAAGTGTGACTTCTCTCTCGATAGATGGCAGTACCTACTTCCACAATTTAGATGAAAATGTGAAGAAGAAGAAAATTTTCTCCAACTCTCTGTACACATGGTACTGCTCAGGGACTGACACAAAACTTATGATTTTACAGATTTTACGAGCACGTATAAAGCATTTTTTCTGTGGGTTTAAGCGGCTTTGAAGTTCAATCTTAGCTCCCTCCGTATCAAGGTTCGATGCTCTAACCATTTGTCTAAAAAAAGAAAAAGAAATTGCGAACGGCCTGTACAACTTTTGATCAAATGATCGGATATTTACGGACTGAAATTCAATCTTAACGGTGCGTTGACCCAACCGTAAATATGCTAATTAGTTTGTGTAAGGCCGGGATAGCCTGGCTGCTAGAGCACTGGGCCCATGTCCAAGAGGTTGAGGGTTCGATCCCCACTGACCGTAGACTGCCCGTGTAGTAAATGGTGACTGCTCGTTAAATCTGTCGAATCTCAAAGTTCTCCATGTTCCCATAACAAATCATACCTCTGGGGGTACTGATCCAAGAGTTTCCGTGTCTTCTGGATTGGTTCAATTCAAAATTACAAGGCTACGAAGCATTAGTAGTCGTATACCCAAAATTGGGTCGGATGTTCAACGACAGTTATGAAATAAAATAAAATAAAATTAGTTTGTGCAGACGATATTAAGTTAAAATGGGGTAAAAATTTTTATACCTAAAAATTCAAGCTCTTTTTAGCTTATTATTAAAATAAATAATAAAAACTAATTAAAAAAATTTACCTTCATAAATAATTATATTTATATGCAAATAAATATATAAATTTTTTTTTGTATGGAATTATCTTTGGATAAGCACTAACTTGTACAACTTTTTTTTTATTCGCTTTAGTTCCGGAAGTGTGTCGTCTACACTAACTAATTAGCATATTTGTGGTCCCCCCTCAAACGATTTTAAGATCACAAGTTGAATCCTCGTACGTGAAAATCCGATAATTAGAACAAAGATAATTCAAAGTGTGCAGATTTATGTACAATTAAAGTGTACATAGAACGTGAAAATCTGACCATTACATTTAAAATTATTCAGAATGTCCGGTACTACCACTTTTTGTTGTTGTTTATATCAAGTTGTTTGTGGACTTTCATTATTGGGAAGACTGATCAGGTTTCATAGACTTAAATTAATTACAAAACGTGGAGCACTTTTAACACATTTTTATTTTACATTAACATTAAAATATTCACACTAAATTATTTTCACTTTTTGTCGGCATTCTAGTTAGATCGGGGGATGGCTGTCGATCGTAAGGGGGAGGTTGATCAGCAGCTGACTGCACTACTGTTGGCTGTACTTGTACTGGTGTACCCACTAGTACTAGCTGACATTCTGGCACGATGTTGGAATTCAAAAATGAGACAGCTTGACGTCGATCATCCGCATTTCTTGAATTCAAACCAGCTGAACGACTCCTGTAAAACAAAAGGTGTTCTGTAATTATCGCCCTTAAGAGATATTTTCCCTGGTGACAGAAATCAATCTTCTGAGGGAAATGTTACATTATGAATTTTTATTGGGGATATTAAAAGCTCTATTTCGCCAAAGCAAACATATAAAAGCCACGTTTAAAGAGTGCTGATTACTGAGCAAAGCTTTATTTTTGTATAATCTTTTTGAAAAGAATGTATAAAGAATATATATATTTATTTTTGAAAAGAATAAAATGGACAATTTATGTAAAAACTNTTTTCATTCTATTGACCTGAGAATTTAATGCTATATATTTATGAATATTATTAACATTTTGTTGGAAAATTTTTTTGAATTAAGTGAATAGTATTTTTTTTATACCTGATATTTTATAGAGGTATCATGATTTTTTCCTAAAAATGTAGATTTTTTACTGTTTTTTTTAATGTTATTTGTTTCTATAATAAAAAATAAAAAAAGTACTTCCAACAATTTTTTCAATATTACCTAATATGTAATATTTTAAAAGAAATTTGTCATTTTGACGAAATTTCAGACGCGAGGAGTAATATAAAAAAAAAACATAAAAATTGAAAAATTTAAATTTTTTAATTTCTTAAATTTTGAAATATTTTTTTGAAATTTTGTATAAAAGTTGTTTTTAGCAATACAAATGTATCCTGAAAATTTCAAGCAAATCCCTTGATAATTTCAAAAAAAAAAAAAAAAAAATTGAAAGCCCTTTGTCGCCTTAACAAAAGCTACTAAGTAAGTACTTTTAGTACCGTAAAACAAAATAAAAAAAGCTACTGTTTTTAAACAGTGGCTTTTGGATGTTTTACACTTGAGGCCATAATTTCAAACAATATGTAGGGTAAATCTAGATTTGATGGCCGTATAAGAAGGATAATCAGTTTAAATTATCCGATAAATAGATCTATAGTTTCACACAAATCAGATTAGTTTACAGATGGTGTTTTCTACAGTAAGGAGAGATGCAGTCTCTTTACCACCAATATTTGTATCTAGCCTATTTTGAAACCCTTTGGCTCAATGCGTTCACTACGTAGAGTGTGCTGTTCTGGAGGATCATTTGGAACGAAAACGTCCCCTTATGGGAACTAAACTAAATACTAACACTAGAATCGTGATGGTTCAGGGGCTTTCCAATGAGATGAACCGGGTTCGAATCTCGGGGATGGCTCTTCGAGGCTGATTCCGCACCCGGCCTGCACTGCCCACAGTGTTGACGGAAAATATCCTCGATGGTAGATGGATCATGGGTTTGAGTCCCTTTGCCCTCAGGCTAACCGTAGGAGTTTTTCGTCGTTTTCCTCTCCATGTAACGCAAGTGCGTGTGAGTTCCATCAAAAAAGTCCTCCAAGAAGGCGAATTTCTCCCAATACTTGATCCAGCAGATCCCTTGTCTTCTGGATTAGATTCAAAATGAGACGGACAGGGGCGGATCCAGAAATTTTTCCTGGGGAGGGTCATAGACCCACAATTAATTTTTTTCTTATGAAAAAAAAATTTTTTTTTTAAATATTTTTTTTCTTCAAAAAAAAAGACACAAAAAACTGGGGTTTTTAATGCTAGTCTTCTCATTTATTTTTTTCATAATGAGCAATAGAACAATACATAAATAACTCAAGTATTCAGAATCTTTAAATAATAGATGTAATGCGTTTTTTAGAAACTTTGGCAAATACAAACTTTGGTTAAACCTATCGAAGCGCGCTTCAACGTTATTGATGTTTACTATCAAACTATGACGAATTTCGCTTTAATCTTTTGGATTATGATTCTTGAAACGGTGAAGAACATAATTAGATGGAGAAAAAAAATCGATTTTTCCGACTTACCTAGGTGTATATGCCCCTTAAATAATTTTTAAAATATTTTATTTATTTTGCAAACTGTTAAAAAAATTATTATTTTAATTTTTTAAATTGTTTTTTTTTGGGGGGAGGGGGGTCATGACCCCTATGACTCCCCCCCCCCTCCTCGCTGAATCCGACCACTAGCTACGGAGCTGAACATGGGTAGCCGTAAAGCGAAAATTCGGTCGGGCTGCTCATCGACGGTTATAAAATCAAAATAAAAACATAATAAATGTATTTTCACTTTAGAAAAAAAGAAGTGTCCCTTAATCACCACTTTTGGATAGAATAAAAAGCTTACCTTATTTAATACCTTAATTAAACCATTATTAAATACCTTAATTATTTAACAGTGTAATTCCTTGGTATGAAATTCCTTTAAAATCTTAAAGAATAAAATTTTTACTATGTGCAATAATGTACAACTTTTTAATGCTTTTATGCATTTAGTGCAATCTGGTACTTCAAGTCTGATGGTAGGTTTTTAAAAGTTATGTGATACTCAATTAAAATAGTTTAGAACACATTGTATACATGCTACACATGCCGAGCACATGCCGAATGTGTAGCATTCGAGCACATGCCGAATGTGTAGAATAATGTGTTGTATACATACACACATGCTAGAACACATGCCGAAAATTACATTTAGACTTAATCAGTAATGTAAAAGGGATATTTCGTTTGAAATGAAACTTATTGGTTAAAAAATTACGATAATAATAAACGTAACTATTTTATCATATTTAACGTAAAAATTTATACTTGACACAAATCAGAGTAAAAAACTTTAAAGTTGCAAATAAGCTGAAGGTTATTCTCGGGTTCGATACCTGATATTGATTTTTTGTAAATTCATCAACTTCAAATGTATTTTCGACAGCTGGTATAGTGCTACTCACTGTGAAAGATTTAAATTTCTAACTGTAGGGAAGTGTAGTGTGAAAAACTTAAGAAAACAGCACATGTTAATTTTATACACTTATTAATTAAATTCAAACTAATTTAATTACTAATTTAATTTAATTAATATGGAAATGGAATAAAATAGTGCACTATAAAAACCGTACTCCGCTACTAATTTTATAATTGCGGAAATAAGTTTGTATACAAAACCATAGTCCTGTTTTGTCGGTCTGTTTATTACGTTTTCAAATAAAAACTAAGCAACAAATCTCCGTGGTCTTGTGCACAGATAAAGTTGGAGGTCTACCTAGCTAAAGAGTTGACACAGGCTAAGCTACAATTTACCGCAGAAAAATATCTCTTTGTTACGAAATAAATCCTTACACGCAAAGAAAATAAAAAAGTACGCGGTCGAGCTGCAGGCAATTGCTAGTTTATAATAAATCAGTTTCATATATCAAAAAATAATCCTAATAACTTAAATTTTAATAAAATGTTTACTTCATAGCTACTTTTATAAATTATGTAGAATGTAGATAGATGTATGTCCAGCGATGCCAACTTGCTCCGGACAGCAAATAAATATTTTAGAGTGGCAGTTTATTAATGCGTGATTCTTGGTCAATGTAAAACAATTGTAATAAAGAAATATTATGTTGTGCATAAATTAAAATAAATAACTAATAACCACATTCCTATACTATATTAGTACTTATCGATTTCAACACCAAAATCGTTAAGTAGTCTTCGGAATAATTTTTAGAAATTCATTAAATGGTTTTTAAGATACACTCCAATAAGTGATAAATAATAAATATAGAATTATTTCATTTAACTATTAATAAACTATATGAAGTTATTATTTTTTTATTGAATTAAAAATAGCTTTTTTTGGTGTTTACTTTTAAAGTAATAATTTTTAAAAAAATTCTGAAGTTTTTAAAAATTATGGGGGGGGGGCATGTCCGACGCTAAGCCTATCTCAACAACTATAGTTTTCCAATGAAATAAAATACCTTACCTGCGTTTCTTGCATAGAAAGACGGCAAGTGAGATGAGGCAGACCACTCCGGCAACAAAAAGCACGCACTCAAACCAATTCCATAGAGTAAAACAAATAGAGGATGAATCAGTTTGCGACTCGCAATCTTCTGATAATTCTAAAAAGATTTAAATACACGGTGATGAGACACAAAAGGTAGACATTTAAAAAAGGGTAGTAAGATATATGAATAAGTTTTGTTGATAGCTTTAGTTGAGTGGTAGGAAAAACTATATTTTCTTTGTAGTTTACTACTACGACTACTTTATTACAATTGTAGTTAACTACAAACTACTTTTTTCTCAAATGTATCGACTACAAACTACTTTCGAAATGTATTCACTACTTCGCTACTTTTAGAAGACAAACTTAACTGGAGAACTCAATTTTCACCCATATTCAAGATGATTTTGAATGAAAAGTGGGCTTGGTAAAATATAAGAAGATATTAAGAAGTTTTAATTCATGTTAACGTGAAATAGATTTTTATTCTAAAGCATTTTTTACGAATTTGTTCTTTTCACTTTCGATCTCTATTGCTTTTCTCGACAGTGATATAAGAAATGCTGGAAAATTATCATCTATTTGTGATTTAAGTGATCAATTCTTTTTTTCTATATCCTCCAAGAAATAAAGTACAGTGCGAAAAACAAAAACGGACCACCCTGAATAACTTTTGTTCTAATGATCGGATCTTCACGTTCTAGGATTCAATCTTAATGGTTTAAGGGGTGACCGCAAATACGCTAATGAATTAATGCAGACGATATTCTAAGTTACGAAATCAGACACAAAAACGTACTTATAAAGTAACCATACGACCGAAAGCTATGAAACTTGGCATGCAGATAGTTCAAAGCACGAGGAAGGTCACTGTCGACATTAGATTATTCTATGACAAACCGTTCGAAAGGGAGGAGTGAAAAACGAAATGGAATTTTCTGACTGGTTGAGCGTTATTCATTGTTTTAAATTTAACGATTCAATTAATCACATATTTTAAAGATAACATAAGTGATAATTGCTAGATTATAGCTCTGTTTGATCAAAAAATAGTTTATTGCTCGTATTTAAATATTTAATTATTTTATATTCACCATGTCAGATAAATACAATGAACATTGCGTGGTCTTACGTCACCAAATGCATACTTTGATACCACGCTCTTTTATTTTATTTAAATCAATTCTTTTAAACGTGTTTCTAAATAACAATAATTACTTATTTGAAACCAAAGGTAATGGAATAGGAAAAAATATTTATGTATTCAAAAGCAAAATTAATGGGAAAGTGGTACTAATTCGTTTAGAAGAAACATAAAAAATCGTCGCCAAGAAGGCTTAAATACGCTAATGATGCTTAACTAATTTAAATAATATATGCATATTGAAATAAAAGAAATAATCTATGTACTAGACGGCAAAAGTAATGATGTAAAGGTATTTATTTGTATAAAAGAACAGTAAGAAATCGTCATACTATCATGTTCTGAATTAAAAAGCAAAAAAAAACAAGAAGAAAAGATACTTATTCGCGTTTTGGGTAGGCTGCTTATTATTATTGAGACTAATGCTCAATTAATATTAATAATATGCATTAATTGAAATAAAATAAAATAAGCTATGTGCTAAAATGCTAAGCTCACGAGGAAATTCGTTTAAGAAAACCGTAAAAAATCGCCATTCAAAGATGACACTGAATTCATATATATCACTAACAGTGATATGTACTACCGGTATTATGGTAATTGGTGAATTGGTTTTGATGAGAATTCTACAACTGGCTTTCCGTAGTTTCAGAAAATATTTTTCCAGTGGTAGCCAAGATAGTGTACTAATATTTTAATGAAATAGAATTAAAAGAGCTTTTTTTTCACCACTACTTATAAATATTTTAACAGTAAATTAAAGGTTAGATAGATAAATGACCATGCTCCGAAATCCTTATAAAGTTCTAATATTATTATTTTTTTAAAATTCTGCTTTAGTTGGCTGCCACTGACAAATATGTATAAACTGAAATGTTGTAGGGTTATGTAATAAGCACCGAATATACTAATATAGGTATAAAATAATATATTGATATATTTGGTAATTATTAAAACCGCACCAATCAGTTTTAATACATATACTTTGGAATTGGGTATACTATAGCCTACGTCACAGGTTGTGTTATTCCTACTAAATTTAACCCATGAACGGCATTTTCTGCGAGCCTAACTTCAAGCCACAAATAAACATACGAAGTGTTTGATCGTTTAAATAGCTGCTCGCCAGATTTTATTGCATTATAAAGAAAAGTAATTGATATTCGATTTTTGATTAATAATTGATTTATGTGGATAGTGGCATAGAATTTAGCATTGCGTCATGGTAAATGTTATTCCTACTAAGTGGAAGTAGTTGTGTTTTTTTTATATATTATACCCAATTAAGTGTCTTACGGTGGATGGTGTTTTCAATATAAATGTAAACAACAACAATCTCGAGCTCTTGATCTACGCTAGCTGTTTACTACGGCTTGTTCTGCGAGGCGATATTTTCAAACAGATAATTTTGTTTATAATAAAACAAAAATTATATAATTTCTGAGCTCAAATCTATTGTATTTCATAAGATACTAATGATATGAGGTAACTCTGGTGAGTTTGAAGTAAAATTTTTTTTATAGTTATTTATAGATGTATTGTTAAAAAAAGGGGTGACATGGTTACTAGATTTAGAAAGAACTCGCTTTTTTTGGCAGTTCCGATTTGGCCTCTTTTACTTGTTTATTACTGTTTGTTCTTGTTGCAAGCAGTGCACCAACATACGTTAGTGTTAGTATATTGTTCGAGCAAACGAGATTAAGTTCGTTTTACAAATCATCATTTAGGTTTAAAATTCGAAGTTGGTATAGTGTTAACAATAACGATTCTTCTTTTTATTCATTTTTTCAAATGACAATTGTTACGTCTTGAAATGACAGGTCTTCAAATGACGATTCTTTTTTTTAAACACAATTAATACATGAGGTAACAAATACAAGTATACAAGAAATACTACTCAAGAGAGTATCTCAAAACACAATGATCCCGTTGTGAGCCGAATGCCTTCAAAACATACCAAAAACAGTAACCTGGAAGTATAGGCAGTCAAGAGTTCCCTAGTGTACAAAACACCATCCATATTTTCAACAAAATAAAGTTAAAACTTACTTTCCTCCGGACTATTGGTTTCACTGTTTGTTAGACCATTAACTTTCGTTGTGTCAATTGGCGTAACTGTAGATGCTTCTGCGATTCGAACTGTTGAAATTTCGCTTTCTGAAGTGTGTTGATGGGTCGAACTAGATCGCCCAACACAAATCTGCGGACTTTCATCGCTGCCATCTTTGCAATCCTTTTCGCCATCGCAAACCCAACTTTTATTAATGCATTTCTCGGGACATCGAAATTGAGCATTGGTGCATCTTTGTGGTGATTGAGTTGATGACATGTCGATTATGATTGGCGATGTCGTATAAATGTGCTCATGGGTTCTTGGGCAGTCCATCTCATCAGACCCATACAAGCAGTCCCATTCTCCATCGCAGACCCAGGTTCTATGTATGCACTTGCTGCCAGATTGTTCAGAGCATGAAACCTGGTTATGTTCGCAATCTCCAGAACTTAAATTCTCTGTCGCCAAGGGAAAGAATGTGATTCTTTCCATAAAATGATTGGATGAGCATAGCTCCTCACTTTCATCGCTGTTATCTCCGCAGTCATTGTCGCCATCACAGACATATTCTGAGTCTATGCATTTGTCTGATTCCTCACAGTAGTATTCGCCGAGATCACAATTCCCTAAAAAATATAACATTTAGATTAATGGTCACTATTTTAAAACTTCAACTTTTTTAAAAAGGCATTTCTTTTTCCCAAAAACTGATTTCTTTTAAATATTTTTTTCCCGCTAAAATCTAAAGATGGTTTTTATAACCGATTTTATTAAAAGTGTTTCAAAGTAAGACTTTGTTTTATTTTATAACCGGCTTTGAGCAGCCGTTCCAATCCTCAGTGAACGACTATCGATGCTCAACTCCGTATCCTTGAAATTTTGAACCCGATCCAGAAGACAAAGGAACTCCTGGATCGAGTACTGGGAGAAATTTGCCTTTGTAGAGGATGTTTTTGATGAAACTAACCCTCATTTGCATTGGAAAACCACGAAAACCTTTCACTGTTACCCTAACGCAAGAGGACTCTGACTAATAATCCATCTACTACTCAGGATATTTTACGTCAGCACTGTGGTCGGTGCGAGCCGGGTGCGGAATCCGAATTCGCCAGACATCGCCGGGTTTCGAACCTGGTTTACCTCATCGGGAGGTGAACGCTGTATCCCCTAAGCCACTACGGCTTCCCAAGGATGGTTAACCGTGACCCTTAATCCTGTCGGGAGGTTTGAAAATCCCGCATCGCGATTTGTAATTACATGGTTTAAAAATAGCACATCTGCATTCGCGTGATTTAAAAATCAAACACCGTGATCCGCATTTGTGTGAATTTATAATCACAATTTGTACTTACGTTATTTAAAAAAAATACACATTGTGATCCATATTTGGGCGATTTAAAAACCACACATCGCGATCGACAATCGTACGATTGAAAAATCCCTCATCACGATCCGCATTTGTGTGATTAAAAAACACATCAGGAAGCACTCATTTATATCTTCTTTTGACTGTATTGTGTAATAAAGTATTAACCCGTCATGGAAAGTGTTTGGTCATTGATTTATCAGGTACCCCGTAATACTTATCCCATCGAACACTATATAAATCATATCTGTCTGAAAATAGGTACAGAGCAAAATAATAAAAAGAAGAAGAATCGATTGCATGATAGATGCCTGTCAAAAAGAAGAACTGAACTAAAGGGAATGCCATTCAAGAATGCCAGTGTTGCTTACAAAATAAATCTATTTCTATGCCACACAGAGCATCAATAAAATGTTTAATACTGAGAGTATGCCCCTTTGATGTACATAATTTTTTTCTGACGCTTTAATTACAATTAAAAATATATTTATTATGAAGGCATTCTGATAGTTACTAAAAATTCTGATAGATTATCAGAATTGGGTACTTGCACTTCAAGAAGAAGATCACCGATACTCACACGCGTGATCTATGACGTCAGCGCCAGCTGATCGTTCCTCCATAAAAGTTAGAATGTTAATTTATGTGAATTGAATTAAATACAGCGCCGTATCGCAAATCGAATGTGTTGGAATATAATTCTTTCTAGTCTACTTTTACTTAACATAGATTTATTACTTGTTCATGTATTTTATTGTAACTGTGATTTATTTTTGTTTTGTGTACCTGGCAACTTCGATGCGTGATTAGTTTGTTTATGCTCTACATGGCCTCGTGCCTGTTTTTGTGTTAAGTAAGAAATATAGAGTGAAAGAATTGAAATCTTTGTGAAATAATCTTTATGAAATATAGAATGTGTCATTTAAGGGAAGTGATACTCAACGGGTTGGCCTACTCGTAATAGAATGGAAAGAACAATTGCTAACGTAAACGAATGCCGCGTTTCACCAACGAATTAAAATCAATATACCCACACTGACGTCACTTGCATTTGTACTAAAATATGAATCCAAAAAAAAAGCATTTTGAAAAAAATATTTTTTATCCATATTCCAATTCTTATAAATATCTTATTTTGAAAATTAACGAAAGTTCAATGATGGTTGAATCTTAGATCAAAACATAACTGCAAATAAGTGCAAGTTGGAAAAAATATTGTTTAAAAGATTCTACCTTTAACGCAGACAAGACACTGTTTCGTGCAGTATTTCATAACTATACATTATTAAAATGCTAGATATGATATTTTTTCAAATATTTTGTCCTAAATTAATAAAAAATAATGAAAGAAATATGAATAAAATGTTTAATAAAAATTCTGCTTCAAAGGCTTAATATTGTTTTTCAAGTTCTGTTTGTCAAGGAAAATACAAAAGTAAGCGTTTAAGTGCTTACCTTAAAACTATAATTTTAAACAATGTTTATCATCCTTCCATAAAGAATTATTTTGCGCTTTAGAACGGACAAATAACTTAATCACTTTAAAAGTTTGTGAACTTTTTTTTTTAAATAATCCCCAATGTAGCAAATTCTTTCTACTTAGATGAAAATTATTCCAAATTTTTGTCAGTTTTTATCTGCACAGACAATGCAGCGTTGGAGTAAATTTTTAAATATTAAAAAAATAAGATCACAAACGATTTTTTTTTCTTTTACAAGACTGTGATTTTTCTTCATTCCGACATTTTACGCCATTTTCAGAATTAGCATAGAGAGAGCTGACTAAAGATTTACAGTCGTGAAAAATTGTTGCTAACTCATAGCAGTTATGAAAATAATTTACAAAACATAATGCGGTAGAACCTTCTAAAAGACCCAAGTTTGAATGCTTTAAGCGAATTAACGTGACTAAGAGGCAAAATACATATGTGTTCGAAAACTAACATTGCACTAAGCTCAAGGTATGAAATTTATTTTGAAAAGTCATTCCCTTTTAAGATAAATTTTTAGTGCAAAAATTTCTAAGTTTATTTAACACAAACTATTTATGCCAGATACAAAAAATAGTCGATATAGCCTGTTTATATTAAATGCCCCCAACGCTCACCAGCAGCCCTGATGATTGTTTCGCAATATAATTGCTGTTTCTTGGCAGTTGAAATTGTGCAATTAAAAATAATTTAATTTAGAAAACAAACAAAAACATAACAATACAGGTAAATACCTTTAAATTAGGGAAACAAAAACGCATAAGAAAACAATACCTTTGTGACTTATATCAATTTTGTGCTGATGACAACCAAACCAATATTAAAATGATTGTGTGAAAATTGGATCCTACCACGTGATTTTCTAGCCAATAAATATGTGCCGACAACAATGGAAAACTGTGACACCACTATTAGATTTTCATATAGAGTTAGAAATAATTTCCAAATTATTTGGGTTATAGTTTTGGAGGATGTTTCTTAATATTATTAGAATGAATATTTCTTAATATTTGGGAAGGTGCCAAGGCCGGATTTAAGCTTGGCGGGGCCCTAAGCTACTGAAAATGATGGGGCCCTTTTAAGTTCAATTCTATTTCTATACACCTAAAGTAAACTGTCGTATTTTTTATTGCTGAATATTAACATTATATTATTAAAAATTTGATAATATTGCTTGATTGTTAAATATATTGATTGTGATGGGGCTATAATGTAGAGCCTTTCTATTATTGCACATATTTTTTGAACGAGGAAAAAAGCAGAAACTCATTTTAAGAACATCATAACCACAGAGTAAAGATTTGGTATGTTAGAAGAACCATTATATGTTTAACAGAGTTTTTTTTTCTTGAAATTCTGAATCTATGTTATTTGAAATTTAAAAAAAATTTTTTTTTTCTAAATTGTTTCTTTTTTAAACGTTACATTTCGCTTTGCTGCTCTATGACTTAGAAACATGAAATTATGAAGGTGTGTCAAAAATAAGCAAGGAGTTAGAAAGAACATAAGAAAATACAATTTGATTATTAGTTCTATTTTTTTTCCATAACCACCGTTGAACAACCGACTTAATTTGAGTTTACGACTACAAATGTTTAACTCCGTATAATATTGAATAATCACCTTATAATTTTGAACTCAATCCAGAAGACAAGAGAATTGGATCAGTACCCAGAGGTATTGATTTGTTGTGAGAACTTAGAGGACTTTGTGACCACGGCAGATTTAACATGCACCAGTCACCATTTTATACATGGGTATTCTTCGGCCGGCTGGATTCGAAATCCCATTCTCACAAACACGAGTTCAACGCCCTNTAGAAAGTCCTGTGAGAGATAAAAAATAATTCAATATATAGAAAAATCGGTATTTTATTACTTCAATGCAGACTATTAGTTATTGTAATTGTCTCATACTCCCATTAATTTTGTGGTACTTTCACGTACTATATAATGCATATTTATTGTCAAAATTATTTCGAAAATTTTGTATATCTGTAGTTTTTCAGAAAAACCTGTTAGGTTAGTTTAAAAAAAATTGACATCAAATTTTTTAAATTTTTTTTCAAAAAATTTTCTAAATTATTAAGTAATTGCAAGTAAATAAATTAATTAATAATTGATTAATAATTAATTAAAAATTAATTTGCTAATTAATTTATTAGTTTGCTGACTAATTAGTTAACCAATTAATTACATATTAATTGGATTATGAGACAATTACAATAACTAATTGTCTGCATTGAAGTAATAAAATACCGATTTTTCTATATATTGAATTATATTTTATCTCTCTATGGGCCGAAACGAATGTTGCCCCCTAAAATTATTCTTCATAAGGCATACATCCCACTAGTTTATTTCAAAATCGGCGAATCACACTTCCCTAGTTTCCCTTGTGAGAATATTGGGGATTTTTTCGTTCGCTTCCTTGGCGTATTGGCTAAATTTCAAAGTTTTACCGTCACCGTTCGCATTTGTTTTTATGTTTATTTTTTGCGACGTTTGCTGTTAGTTTCGAACTCGTATAAAATATGTTATTTGTTGAATTTTTTCGTTATGTCTTTGTTTTTATTATTGTTATCTGTTTTGATTTTGTTTTTAATTTTTTTTTCTTTAAAGTAAGTTAGATCTTAATATATGTAAGTTACCCCGGCAAAGTATGAAACGTCGGCATTGTATAGAATGCTGGATGCTTTTAGGCAAAGTATGAAATGTGAGAATTATACTGGGCAATGGCACTTGACCTTAAAAAAACATCAGCGTAAGGT